TAGTATAAAGCTTGCGGAGCATGGGGGCTTGGAGTAACTGAAAACTACTCTTAGTACCTCTCCACATCTCTTGTACTCTTCACATTTCTTTGTCAATAAGTAGTTCTCTCTTAGCCTATATCCCGCACTCTAAGACAGTAGTATAGCCTATCCAAACGCCGCCATGAACGCTAAGGTCTTGCTCGCCCTCATTCCCCTCGTCCTTGCTCAGAGTTCGACTTCCCTGAAGCCTCCGATTCTGCCAGCAAGCCTGCGTCTAGCGGTGTCAGTGCCTCTGTCACTACCAAGGCATCTGGTAGCGCTTCGCCAACTGCCACTTCCTCACATGCTACCAAGGTATCGCCCGCCGCTTCCTCGCAGGATACCAAGGTGTCATCGGTCGCTTCCTCGCAGGACACTAAGGCGTCGCCTACTGCTTCCTCACAACCCACCAAGGCATCTGGTAGCGCTTCGCCGACTGCTACTTCCTCGCATGCTACCAAGGCTTCCTCTGCCAGCGGCTCCTCCTCGAAGGGACTGCGTCTAAGACCAGCAAGAACGGTGCTGGACAGCTCACTGCTGGTATTGCGGCTGCCGCCGTCATTGCTGTAGCCCAGTTCCTCTGATATCTTTTCAGTAAGCTTATTCTACCTTGTGAATTCGATCAAACACGCTTTTGTTTTAAAGAGCCATGGTGTAAGTTAATTATCACAGACACCGAAATCCTGCAATCCTGTGGTTCCAAATCCTTATGATTTCAGGAACCCATGGATCAAAACCTTTAGGCCACAATGGCCGGCCATACTATTCCTGGCGGCCGGCGCCACTACTTAGACGGGCGCCTACCCTTTCACCTGGCGATTCCTTCTTCCTCCTTTCATACAGCATATTTCATACGTTCAATATACGTCGTGGAAAGGTGCTTGGAGAGTAAACGTATTCTAGACAGTTGCAGGAGGCTGTCTATCTAAGTGTATCGTACCCGAGACACAACAATCCTTTTGAATTGGACATTACGCTTTGAGAATGTTCCCATACGAGTAAGGAACAGCAGCGGCGGATTGATTAGCAGTAAGTGTCAGTGGTTGTGGTTGTGAGAGACAGATTGGTACTACCACAGTGGTGCACTTGTTTAGACTGGCAATGATAAACATGTTCCATGGAAATACAATATAGCTACTCTTCTTCTGCTTGATGTTCAACGATGGCAAGTTCCAGACGGTGGTGTTTTACCTCGAGCTGGTGAGTCTCTTCCATCCGGTGTTCTGCAGCCTGGCTATCAATTGTGGTATGGTGCATGTCCTTGGTCCAGATATCATAATTACCTGGAATCGTAAGCCAACCCAGGAGCTCTTTAATATCATCAGGCGTACAATGTATACGTTTGCGGGTAGGCATTATTATACGTGTAGGAGATAGGATATTGGGTGAAAGTTTTGAAGTCTAGTAATTCAACCATCATGACAAGCCCTAAACACCAGAGCTTAACATCTGGCGAATGCCGAGTGTGGATATTTGGTTTTGATGCCTTGCTATTCAAAGTTATGGGCTCTCGTTCGTGTATAATCTGGCAAAGTATCATGCATGTTATGCGCAAACAAGATATAAAAACACGATAATACCAGAATGAAGGAAAGAATATTTTGTCTTCCATCATATATCACAAGATAAATACACACGAGTGGCATTTAAATATATAAAACTATCCTGAGAAGAAAGCATGAACAACGATCATTTACTTGGTCAGCGTGCATGCAATCTGCTTGCCAAAGCTCGGTGACATTGGATCTGTCGACCTTGTCAAAGAAGGTTAGCCCAGAGGCCTTCTCGATGTACTCGATTGGCTGCGAGAATGTGGAGAGCTCAGTCTTGCTGTCGATCTTCTGGTTCGGCAGCGCAAATCCGCCAAGGGCAAAGTTTGAACCGCCAGTCACGCCCAGGATGATCTTGTAGAAGTGAGTCGGCCACAGCAACGTTGGGTGGATTCCCGATGACCTCGTATGTAACTGTCCATTTTCCTGTCGCTTCGTTTTTGGTAGGCAAGAAAAGGGAGCCAGTAATAACATAGATATCGTCAAACTGCTTTGTCAAATCTCTGACAAACCCTTCCAGGTACGCCCAATAATGCCTGTTAAAACCAATGCCGACCTGCGGGGCCATGTTTGACAGCAAAAAGGTCTCTGTCATAGCCTCCATGTTGATCTTGGCATCGCCGGCCGGTGCCATATGCCCGCGGTCATACCCAGAGCCCGAGTAGTCCTTCAGCAGCGCACGGAACTGCTCGGGGAGCGATTTGTCCTCAGAAAAGGGGATGTCGGTGCGGTTGGCAGGGCCCTCGAGGTTGGCAGCGGTGAGGTGCCTCAGCAGCCCAGTGCGGACACGCGGAGAGCGCGGTTGTACGCAATTGCATAGCGCTGGTGGACCCGGAGGTCGGCAACAGGGCCTTGGGTTGCCGTACTTTAGGACGTCGTCGGGGGAAGACTGACGGACATGGAGGGGTCTAGGAGAAGCAATTACAGATATCGCAAAAGCACCCAGAGAGAGTATGAAAGTAGTACGCATTGTGAGAAGCTTTCAGGCAAAGTGAGAAGCAAATAGCCAAGACTGAAGGATATTGCAAGGGTGGCGCGCCAGTTGGTCTTTTATTGAAACACAAGCCTGAGGAGAAGAGGATGTTGACAAGCGGCTGCCAATACTGCTTCATGAGAACAGCCGGCATGGGGGCACCAATGTAGCGGCGTGGCATGCCACGAGACCGGCTTATTTTGCACTATGCCCGGCACAATTGTGAATAGCAATGGATAGAAGGGAGCACAGACATGCAATAGCAGGTGAATGTCTAAAGAGGGACCAGGCGGTCCATCCGGATATATAGTGGACCGGAGGATGGTAGGCTTAGAGGAGCACACCTGCTGAAGCGACTGGAGCCAGATGCAATGGATGTATTTCTAGACAGAGAAAGCAAATGGCGATCATCATGTACATGTGGACGCGAGGGCGCGCAATAGGAATCCTAAGAACAGATGCGCATGTACAATTGCGTGCCCTGGAACAGCATATTCCCACGAACCATTACGCCCCAAAGAAACACATTCACCAAATGTACCAACACATGTTTCAGTTCCCAGGCTTTTTCTTCTTCCATGCATCGTGCTCCAGCTTGCACTCGATCTTTGAGCACAGCGGCACAACACTTCCGGCCTTGCGCTCGATCCTGTCAAAGAACTGCAGACCGGCAGCCTTCTCAATGACCTCCAGCGGCACGGCGTAGTTTGTCAGCGGCGTCTTGTTATCGATTTCTGCGTTCGGCAGCGCGAAAGCCGCCAATGGCAAATGCCGGCTCGTTGTTGCGCTTGGCGAGAATGACCTTGAAGAAGTGCGTCGGCACAGCGACATTCGGCGGGTTCCCGATGACCTCGTACTTTACAAACCACTTGTCACCCTCCTTGTGCGGCAAGTTACAGCGGCCCTGAAATGCAGTACACATCATCAAACGACTTTGTCAGATTCCTCACAAACGACTCGAGGTCAGCCCAGTAGTTTCCGGTTAAAGCCCTTGCCGACCTGCGGGGAAATGTTGGTCAACAGGAATGTCTCGTTCATTGCCTGCGAGTCCTTCTTGGCGTCGGCAGCAGGGCACATGTGGCCGCGGTCGTAGCCCGACCGGTAGTAGTCCTTGAGAAGCGCCTGGAATTGGCCTGGGATTGCAGGGTCCTCCTTGAACTCGGAGGTGGACCGATCGGCCAGTGCCCTTCATGTTGTCGCGCGTCAAGTGCTCAGCGACCCAGGAGGGGTTGCGCAGGGCGCGGTTGTAGGAGGCAGCGTAGCGCGAACGCACCATGAAATCGGAGATGGGGCCAGGGTACCCGTACTTTAGGAACTCGTTGTCCGTGTTTGGAGACTGCACAGGGGCACGAGGAGCAGGCGCTGCGAACTGTGCGGGCTGCTTTGGCTGCATGGGTTGCGGAGCTTGAGTCGACTGCGTGGTTGTCTGCGCAGCGGGAGCCGCAATTTGATCGTTGCGGGCTTTGTTGGTCAGGCCATAGACCAAGCCGCCTCCAAGTAGCGAGCCGGCAGCAAACGTGATGATGCGGTGCATGTTCAGGTGGTAGAAAGCCGATGATAAAGGTGACGGGGTTGCAAGAGTCAAGAAACGGCGATAGGCTTCCAACTAGGAAAAAAAAAGAACTGAAAGGCACAGCGTCGACGATTAAATTATAGATTGCCCAGGTAACGTGATCAGGGGGCAGTCTGTCTTGGGACAGAATAGCGGGGTCGCGAGCGCTCTTGTTGCCCCGTGCCAGCCGCTGGATGATGCAATTCCCCGTACACGCCGCGCAGCAGGGAGCTGCAAGGAGCGACTGGATGAGGGATAGTGGGCTATGCCCGAGTTCCGTGGCCTGGGAGAGCGCACGGCATAAAACGAAGAGCGAGAGCGCCGAAACTTGGCAAGCTCATACGCTCTTTTCTTACTATCTCCAAACTCTATTTCCAAGAATGGCACAAGTCAAAGCCTCAGTCTCGCGGTTCATCGAGTATCTGCGCATCAAGACAGTCCAGCCCAGCCCGGACTACGCCACATGCACAGCGTTCCTCAAGCAACAGGCCACAGAGCTTAACCTGGGGTTCCAGTCCATCGAGTATGTGGCCGGAAAGCCCGTAGTGATCTTGACGTGGCTAGGCACAAACCCCAGCCTGCCCAGCATTATCTTGAACTCGCACACGGATGTGGTGCCCGTGTTTGAGGAGTTCTGGGACTACCCGCCGTTTGAGGCCGCTCGGGTCCCCACAGAGGACGGCAAGGACTTTAAGATCTATGCGCGTGGTTCGCAGGACATGAAGATTGTCGGGCACTGCTATCTGGAGGCCGTGCGGGTCCTGCAGGAGCAGGGCAGACGGCTACTGCGCACGCTGCATCTGGTGTATGTTCCTGACGAAGAAATTGGTGGGCACGACGGAATGTGCAAGTTTGTGGAGTCGGGCGAGTTCAAGGCCCTGAACGCCGGCTTCGCGCTGGACGAGGGCATGGCGAATCCCGGAAACGACCTCAGGGTGTTTTATGGCGAGCGGGCGCCCTGCTGGGTCAAGTTCAGAGCGCGCGGCAATGTCGGCCATGGCAGCCAGTTCATTGAGGACACGGCTGCTGAGAAGCTGACGCCGATCATCAACCACCTGATGGAGTTCCGGCAGGCGCAGTTTGACATCTTCAAGACACCCAACAGCGACGGATCACCTCGCACGCTGGGCGACGTGACCACCACGAACCTGACGCTGCTGGAGTCGGGGTGTGCAGCAGAATGTTGTGCCAGAGAGCGCCCTGGCTGGATTCGACATCCGCATGACGCCGACTATTGACTATATAGAGTTCCGTAAGGGGCTGGAGGACCTCGGCAAGAAGCACGGGGCGGAGGTTGAATTTGCCCAGTTCTGGGATGATAACACTGTGACCAAGACCGACGCATCGAATCCGTTCTGGACCGCGTTCAGCGGGGTCATGGCCGACCTTGGTATTAGCGTGTTCAAGGAGATCTTCCCGGCAGCCACGGACTCGAGGTATCTGAGGAAGGCAGGCGTGCCGGCACTGGGCGTCACGCCGCTGACAAATGCGCCGATTCTGCTGCACGACCACAACGAGTTTGTGACCGAGAGCGAGTTCCTCAATGGCATTGACTTCTACGCCAAGGTTAT